TTTTTTTCACATCTCTCTCCAAGTTTTATTTAGCTTCTACAATTTCTATTTTTTAAAATAAAAAATGTTTTCTTTCATTTTATTTTAGGTTTTTCAAAATTTCAAACTTTGTGTTTTGCGTTTCTCCCTTTAGAATTCTAAAAGAAACAAAAAAATAGAATTAAAAAGAAATAGAAGGCATTTTATATGCTTCTTTCCCTTGAGCCTCTTGATTCACCCCATTGATTCCAGCCCTTCCATGTTCAGTTTCTCATCTCCAGCCGACCACACCAACACCAACCACGCCACATGCTAACCAAGCACCTCGCTGCTGAATCACCACTTGTCACCCACAATGAATGCCAACAAACCAACCACTAAGTCCCAAAATTCTCCTCCGTTTCTGGTTTAATCAACCCACGTCTAGCCGGTGTATACCAAGACTAGCTTTGAATGTCTACTCATCTCTTATTCAATGATGTACCGCAGCATCTTTCTCTTTTATTCCTGGCGTGCTTCTTCAGAATCCATCACACCCTACAAATTTGCGTGATCGCTCTCTCTTTCTTTGGCTCAAAAGTGTGCGGTTTTTCCAGCAACCTCATTGTTTAAATTGCAGCAGCTCTACCTGACAGCAGACGCACAATAGCGTCGCGGGTCAATTTTTGAACCGCTTTGCTGCTACATATCCATGTGGTTAAAAATTTATTTAATATTTGACGAGATTGGTTCAACATCTTGTTGTTGCTTTGCCTTCACAGATTCGCCAATTTAATTGTTGGCTTAGACATGTTATGTGTCTTCAAAACCTATAAAAATATTTTGGGACAACGATAGGGACACCTACCGGTTCGACACCCGGCGGGTTACACCCTATATAATATGTTTATTGATGGTTCGCGAATAAAACCCAAACAGCCCAGCTCTCAGCTATTCCCATAAAAAGTGTCTATTATCGTTACCAAACAGGCTTGAATCATGTGTCTTCCCAAAGAGAAGAGCATCGAACCTTCCGATCCTCTGCTTCTGTTCCTCTCCCTTTCCCTTCACATATTAATTCTTTGCATGTAGATGCTTCGATCGAAGATAGGGAGAAGCAGATGTGGTTGACTGTGGTCATTAGCTTTGAATCCTTCCAGGTAAGTGAGTATGGGGTGCTGGGCTTGTCAGTTGAGGAGTGTGTGAAGAAATTGTAGGTTTAATTCGACCTCCATTTTCGATGAAACCATGCCAAATTCAAATTATGTCAGCTTCTATCAATTAGAGCTTTGGAAACTTAAATTATTTAATTGATGTCAAATTCAAATTCTAGTCAACTTCTGTCAATTAGAGATGAGCTTTTTGACACCTTCAGATAAAGGCACAAAGGTGTGATGGAAATGGAAGAAGTGCAGCTAACGTCAAATTCTCTACACAGGTTTTTTTTTCCAGTCTTTTGCCTCTTCTATGCCATTCCCAAGCAATCTTCTTTTGTTGCCTATTCAGTTGTGGTGATAGATTATACATGTATATGGTTTTCATATTTTATTTCCCATTTTACCTGCGAATATATAATAGTATTTTATTTTCTCAATTTGTCCTCTTTTCTTGCTTCTATATGCTTTCTTAGTTATTTATTTTTTAAGTGGTTTGTGTTGAAGCCCTGCTAAAGCACTTGTCAGAGTTACATGGTAGTTTAACATTAACAATTTAGATTTTCTTTCCATCTCTGAATTTTTTTTTCCCTTTCTTTTCTTTGGAGATTATTTGTAATTCTTTTTGATTGGCTAGAAAGTTGTAGTCATTTTAGTTGCTTTTACTTCACGTGATTATTTCTGTGCTACATAGAATGTTGTTAGCCTTTAGTGAGCAGACAAAAGGTCAAAAATTTCCAGCTAATGCATTTGATCAAGAAACTCTTAAGATGGTTATGGACAGGTGGAATCTACGTCTTGAACTGATGATTCTTTAAATACTCCTTGAACCTTTATTCAGCTTGTAAAATGTTTAGCAGTTTTTCATTTAAATACTATTAAAATACTCCAGAATTAGTTGTTTCTCTTTTTGCTTGATATTTTAAGCACTACTGTAAGGTGAAATATTAGTACGTGTATTTTTCAGCTGAATTTCTGAGATTCAAAGGAACATAAGTTTTTGGGAAGTGCTAGTGCAGGTGTGAAGGGAAGGAACTTACACATCCTATTCAGAATCTCCTTGGTGGAGAGCTTGTTCACGCAATGCTCATCCAGGTAATATTTTTTGGTTTGTTACACACTTGCTGCCTGTAATTGCAGTCACATGATATTTGGTTCTTTGTGTCATTTTGTAGGTTCAAAAGCTAAATATCTTAGCATAGATGGTTCAATTTCATGGACATTTTAGTTTGTCTCAATATTCTTACTTACTTAAAGTGCTTGTTTAAATAGGGCAATGCTTGAACTTGATCAGATTCTTTGGGCAAATGGAATAAACTTTGCGATTCTAGCTGCTTTGCCTGCATTCTTTCTATCTCTTATTTTGATCATGTCAGTCTGCGCATGCTTAAAACAGGTAAGCATCTTGTACTGTGAATTAGAAATTTCGTTATTTTCCTTCTAAATGTTTAAACATTTCTCTAATTAAAATATGGAAGGGAAAGATAAATCTTCAACCAAACTAGCAAGTTTAATCAGACAAAAGGCTAAGAGGAAAATGCAACGACTTAGTATTGTGTAAGCGAAATTGATTTGTCTTCCAATGATAGTCGTTATTTATGCTATGGTTTTGAGACAAGTGGCTTCTTTGTTTCATTTTTCTTCTTCTCTCCCCATCTTTTGGTTCCTGTTGTGTTTTAAACTTCCAGCTAACTATTCTATTCTTGTGTTCACTAGAATCAGCAATATTAAGCTTATCTGGCCTCTTTTCATTCTGCAAGGCATCTGATATCTTTTATTTTAATTAAGGATACAAGAGCAGAAGGCAAGGGAAGAGTTGCTCGTATCTAGAGGAGGCTACTTATTGTGGAGGTTGAGAAAACGGTAATGAAGTACCTAGCCTATCTTGACCAGCAGCGTGTAAGAAGCTTAATCTGTTCTTAACTCTTTTGATTAAAATATATCCCATGCCACCTGCCTTCGACAACCTCCATTTCACCATGTCAATCGGCCATGTTGGTTACTTAACACTCTTTTTTTACATTATCTTTAGGTGTCTGCCAAAATACAATATTGTCTGTTTATCAAAGAGTGATACTTTCACCATCTTGATTGACTTGTAATAGTGAGGATTTATTAGAGAAATTGTGAAGATAGATTGTCTTTCCACCATTTCTTAAGTGTTTTCTAATGTTATTTGATGGGACTTTGTCTTTGTAATTTCAGTGTAATACAGTTCTGCTCCACAGCATTTGGGTATTATGCTCAAGCAACTGCTGCACAAGAAATATTTGGCCATACATTGCAGTCTCT